ACCAAAGCTAGGAGTAGTGCACGGGTAAATTGTGTTTGTCGGTGCCTGAAATTTAAAAGATGAAAGTTTATTAAACAGGAAGAAAAATATGATTCACAAGAATAACAAATTACACAAATGCGAAATGATATCGTCACGTGTCACGTGGGATTTCCACGTTTTACTCCCGTCAGCCATATTGTTAATAATATGCAACTGCAAAGCAAGGGAACAATACTGTAAAGCATAAGACAAATGTACAAATATGATGCACTGGGAGGATACCGTAAAATCGGATGAATATGTAGTTAAATTAGCGCAAAAGCTAGGCATTGTTCTTGGTCCTGTACGTTCTTAATTCACCGCTTTTCTGAACTAACCAAGCAAACGACACTAAAGTCATACTTGACACCAAATATACATGAGTATGAGATTTATTTGAATTCTAATATGAAAAGATGGCTCTCGAAATTTGCTGGCTTAGAACCCCCTTGAAAAACCACACCGGCAATTGTCACCTGAAACTTGATAACCGGCAGAAGACGTTTTTAATCGCTGTGAAATTTGTCCTCATCCACAGAAATATCCTTAGAACTGCTATCGCCGGTCTGTTCATGCTCATCCTTTCGTTCTTCCTGCTTCTGTTGTTCGCTTATCCTGCTGGTAGTCCACTGCACCAAATCGGTTAAGCGATCTCGCGCTTCTTTAAGAATCTGCAAATTCTCGATTTCCTGTTGTTAAAAAATAATCCTTTAGTTCCTGACTTCAAGTACTTTGATCTCAAGTACCATTCCAATGTAAAGCACCCTGAAGCTGCCAACGCTGAAGATAACTTTCGAAGGCTGCTGCAAACAAAGCCGTGATAGGTAATGGCAATCATCCCTAGCTCTAACGATCTAGGGCGATTTCTAACGATCCAAGGCGATTCATCAACAGCTTTATTTTTCGTCTCTTGGGTGTTCGTAACAAGGTCAAAGATTTTTTTTTTTTTAAATAGTTACAAAAGGTTGAAACCTACTTCATCTTTCACTTCGTGCACATCCTGCGCTTCGCCCAAATTCTTGTCCAAGTCTTCCAGATACGTTGTAATTGCATCCAGTTTCCTTTTAGATGGCTCGTTCAATAACTGAAAAATAATGAAATATCTAATCCATGAGAATTAGCTGTAGGAAGATTCGAGTATAAAAATTGACTTTTATTGAATTCCTCTCCTTAATTGATAAGGAATCAGCTCATGTTGGGTCTAGGAGTGACAACTTTATGGAAACGTGGTGTGGTGATTTTCAACATACACCTAGAAAGACGGAGCACTGGTTGGGAAAAAATGGAAAAGTTGCCAGCTGCATAGTCAGAAAGTACACTGTAAACTGCAGCCAAGTACTGAATTTAAATCTTGCACAACATTCCCGGATTTCCTACCTTCCAACCCGGATTTCCTACATTCTCTGATGCTTTTATATTCGCTGGATTTCCCGCATCTTCACTGCCACAAACAGTCACCGTGAGTGGAAGCACCTGCCAATCCTATTTGTGTCGCTACACAGCCAAGCTCAAACAATTTGTTGGGTTCTTTACCTGCCCGCTGGATTCCCTTAGCGTGTTGATCTGCGATGATAAGAGTGCTGAATTCTGTCTCATGTAATTCATCAGTGCTTCTTCAGGATTGCTTTTCAGCCGATCAGCTTCTTTTTCCAGTGATTCCTTCAGATCTGCGAGTGATGTGTGCAGCTTCCCGAACTCAGGATTTCTGCTGGCGGACCATATCCACCTGAACGCTCAACTTTTTTACATTTTTTGATTTCTTCATAATCTTGATGAAGCCTGTGCATTGTGTGTGAAAAAGCCTTGCTTTTTATGTTTTTCTTTGAGGATATGTTTGTCGGTAAAAACTGATTCACTCCCATTTTTCATTATTTTAGAAACACAACAATCGTTATATTCTAAAAGCTGAAATAATCCTTTAAAATATGCATCTTTTTTGATTGTAATTTTTTTTTATGAGCAGGGAAGTACATATTAATCTGCTTCAAACAAATATTATTTTGCGGCATTCGTGGCAGTATCGTGAAAAAATACGTACTGTGACCATTCGGGGTGCGTGTGTGTGTGTTTTCTTGTGTGAGTGTGTGCATCTCTTTGGGTATTTCAACTCTCCAACCAAACAAACTCCGATGCTGAAATTCTGCCATTGGGTTCGTGACCAAGCGTCACCCAGGAGCACGGTACCAACCTTTACATATGTCTGAGCCCCTATCGGCACGTGAAAATTCAGGCACGAAAACTCCAGGGAAGTAAGAAGGCTGAAATTTTGAGGGGATGTTGTCCGTCTACGTACAGCTTAATGGTTTCAAATTCGCCCCAGGTATGCGTGGCACTTGCGTGAAGGCATGTGAAACTTTTGGCTAGAGAATTATTCATTGAACGGCTGGGAAATTTCCAATGGACGACTGTTCAGCGGACATTGTTCATTTCTTTTATGCAAAATTTGCCGTAATTTATGCTAATAAGTAAACCGAACTAAGTTAAAGCAGCAAACACCCAAATGGTGGACGACTTGATTGCTTCAAGTTTATTGCAAAGACTCATGATCGCACTTGCGAGCTTGCTGCATTCCAGCTTGGATTAATATTACTTGCAGGTTTGCTGGGCAGTAAGGCGGAAGAGCAAATCGAGCAGCATGACATTTTCAATCTATGGATTATTGGAAGCGGGCTTGCTTGTTTTGAATGGGATCGCCGTACTCAACAGGGAGAGATTTTTGAATAAGGTATGCTTCGTTGATGCATTTCAATTTGAAAATAAATAGCAGTGCACCAGGGTCTGATCATGCGCTTTGCGGAATTCCGTCCATCGGATGTTTGTCGGCTAAGGATTTCACTGCTTTACACTTTTATGTGTGGAGAGATAGTCGATGTACTGTCTGGCTCCCAAATCGATGAATTTCCCACCAAAAATTTGAAGTGTCAGTACATGAAAACAGAACTTTGGAAGAGGACAGCGCAAAACGCATAATGAAAGGAATGTTTTTGGAGGCAGTGGATATGGGATTTTGCGGCCACAGCTTATTCTGGGAAGAGGTTGTAAGGAAAAACTTTCAGGTTGGTCTTTCGATGCCAAGCAATTCTTTCGAAGTGGTAAATCCATCATCGTTCAAAATGCAAATTGTGAATTTAATAGCTGCTGTGCAAACTGTTATGCGAGGTCGGTGACATTGTTTTGTTAACAAGCTTTTCTTGTCTGTTATTTCACAGCTCGAAATGAGGGAAATGAGGAGTGGGAAGCGGAAGTATGCATCGATTTCATAAATCTTTGTTTTATTCTGCAAAAAAGGACGATGAGAGAATTGGATAGGAGAGAGAGAGATGAGGAATACAAAAATTAGCTCTTGAAGTCGATCACTAGATGACGTTGTATCAGCCGGGATAGCGGTGGAAGGGCAATTATAAAAAGGCTTTTGGTTGTACAATCATTAGCATGGAGGGTGCATCACGATGATGATGAGGGGCTGAAGGTACCTAACAAAAAGGACCTTCGTGGCAAATCTCTGCTCCGGAATACTAGTCGTTGCGGTTTTGCAACGTCAAAATATACCGGAACTGTAAGCCTCTTCCAGGTTTCGGGGTGCATCGGTATCTTCCCTTTGGCATTTCGGAGATACTGGCCATTTTAAATAGGGTTTTGTATGCAAATCACCTTGCTTACATTCTTTAAAATGCATGTTTTTCAGTGCCCCTTATTGCTATCAATATATTCGTCATAGTAATAAAACTTTTGTTGGGATAGCGAAGGAATCTCAATTTCCTGCATA